ATGAAATGATAAGTGATTGAAATATTATATATATAATTTTTTTTTCATATTAAAAATAATTAGAACAATTGTCACATTATTAATTTTTAATTTTTTAAAATGTAATGAGAGAATAAATTAATTATTTATATTTTATTTATTGTACTAATATAAATATGTTAATAAAAATAATGATGTAGCTTAAATTTTAGAAAAATAAAAAATTAACAAAAGAAGTTAAAGTTTTAGAGCCAATCCATCATATCCATAACTCACATAGGGTCGGGCTTAGAAATCAATTTAAACGACCAAATTAAATTTGAGCCTTTTTAGTTCAATCTGTTGTAATTCATGACTTGCATCGAGTTGACCGACAAATAGGTCGAGTAGCCTATTTTGGATTCTCTGCCTAAACTAAAGTAGTTTATAATTTATAAGCTCTTAATTTTTATTTTATTTTTTATTCTTATTAATTTTCTTGAAATTATTTCTTACCTTTTTTTTTCTACTTAGAAACCTTTTTGTTTACATGTCATTCATTCTCTTACCCTTAAGGATCATTTGGTACAAAGAATAATTTTACTTTCTTGGGAATTTTAAATCAAGAATTCCAGTTTCTCATGTTTGGTAACTATTTAAAAAAGAAGATTCATAGAAATATAATTTTTAGGAATAATTTTTATTCCACTTTTCTATAATGATTGTCTCTCTCACCATCACTCCCTCTCTCTTCCTCTTTCTACCATTTCTCTTTCTCCCTCTCTCTCTTTATATGTGTCCCTCTCACTCTCGGTTCTCCTCTCTTCCTCTTCCTCTCACTCCCACTCTTTCTCTTTCTCCCTCTCTCTTTAACACTCTCACCCCTCTCTTTCTCTCTCCTTGTCCATCACTCTCTTTCTCATATATATATTTTTCTCTTTATTTATTTATTTATTAATTTTAATAATATTATTAAAGTCGTTATTTCTTAATCTTGTCAATTTTAATAATATTATTAAAAAAATATACAATTTAATGGTATTTGTTAACACTTTTTTATTTTTATTATTTGAATGAAATGAAATAATATATTTTTATCCTTTTTATTTATTGTGTAGTATTTTTCTTTGTTTATCTTTTTTTTGAATTTTTTATTTAAATAATTTAAAATTTTTAAAAATAGTTTAATGTCATATTTGCATAAGATTTGAGTAAATAAATATATCTAATGGAATTATGTTAATAAAAGCTATTTTTTGTAAAAAATATTTATATATCCAAAAATATATTATTGTAATTAAACATAAAAATCTTTAATCCTTGAAAATTGTGGTCAAAATACTTGTACTTGTAGATATTCATGCCACTACACATAATAAATGGATAGTCTAAATAGATGCTTGCGAGTAATAGATACATGTCTTTTTTTCCTCGTTTATAAACAAAACAAAGGCGAGTATTGTAATATCTATACTTGTGAGTATCCGTTAAATAAAATTACTTAAATATTCATATTTTTATCTTATATTTTTTATATTATTTTTAAAATTTATCACTAATTGCAAACTTAAAAACTAATATCAATTATTTATCTTTAATATTTTAATATAATTAATATCAAATATAAGCTTAAAATTATTTATAATATTTTTTTTAATTTTTTAAAAATT